TTAGTTTGCATTCTCAACTTGGCTTCATCTTCAATCTTTTGCATTTCACATATATCTTTCATAGTTACTTTTCCACAAGCCCCAATTCCATATCCTTGTAATTTTAACAAATGTGCTCTCACTCTTGTGTATGAACTTGTCTTAGTTGAATTACAAAAATTGCATTGCCAACGAATGTTACCACCATTTTCATTAAATTTATCAAGTTTTGTAACATTTTTCCAAAGAGGTTTAGACAAATCATCATCCATAGCATTACCACTCATAACTTCAAAAGACAAATAATTTCAAATACTTAAATAAGATATGAGTGATATTACCCGAAAAAGAAAAACACGAATCAACCCACCTAAGCCTCCGACACGCTGCAAGCGACTCCGACACGCGTCGGCCACGTATCGGTGCTTCTGAGCTGAGTATGTTCTATGCTCACTACCTGTCATAGTGTCTCTGGATTTTCACCAACTTTACTAGTTAGTGACAACTCATTTTGTGATTTGGTAGGAAGAGGAATTTCAATTTATAATGGATAGCTTCTTCAATTTTAAAAGCTGGAAACCGATTGCACCAACATCAAGAGTAAATTTTTTTACAAAGACAAAACATTTAAGAAAGTGATGTGGCTATTTTTCAGATACCAGAGTAAATATAATCAAAATGTATGAATTTATTGCAAGTGAAAGCAAGTAGCAGGTTTAGTAAAATGAATTGAAAGTGTTTAACAATAATTGTCATTATCAGTGAGTTTCGTCACTTCAAAACTGAAGGCACTACTTTTTCTGAATTTGTGTGAAGGAATAACTGTAGACAAGACCTACCTAAGAATAATACTAACATAAGCACCAGAGCGATAAGGATAAGGTATTTGGCAATATGTGTTTTCAAAGTGACCAAGTCTTTAATTTCTCTTCTATTCTCTCGGTTTTTCTTAGTCTTATTGAAAGATGAAAGTTTGAGTACATATTTATAACAATGTTCTCTGTTGTTTGACACTTAAGCTGGTAGGCAAGGATTCTTGAATAATTTTGGAATGTACCTGCTCTAGACTAGTTCTGAACGTTCAAATTTGGTGCTGCAAAGGCATTGATTTTTCCAAACTAAAATTGTAAGAGAGGGGTTCACTGTTTGATTTCGGAGAAAGATTCTTTTGTCAGGATGTCGTTCCTATGCCAGTTTTGTGGTTTTCATGATTGAAATTTGTGAAACTACATAGGCAGCTGTGTCTGAACTGAGTATAGATGTGTATGAAGCCCAATACCATGGGAACGAAGTTTGAATTTGGATGCATATTGAGTTTTTATGTTTCAACTGTTGGAAATTTCCTGGTGTCATAAAATTTTGATGTATAATTAGTTCCTTTATAGGTTCTTGAACTTCCTTCACAAGGTCCTTTTCCCTTAAAGCTTGGGAGTCCACATGTTGGTAATGTAGAAGCCAAAAAAGGGTAAATCGAGAAACATCTCAAAACCATAATGAGTAATCAAGCTATGGTTATTATTATTTTGTCAATACTTGGTTTGGATTCCTAAGGCAATTATCTAGATTTACTTCACTAAGACAACGCTGCTGGAATCTGTGTCCATAGTTGCATTTAGATGTGGTTTAATCATATCATGAAATTAGTTGTTTTCACTGGGTATTGGTGAAGTTCATCTAATTTCTTGATCATTCCAGTGTAAATAAAGGGATGAGTCCTGCTGAATTCAAGTTCATATATTGGATGGAGTATGCCCATTGTACATGGGGAAGAGCACTCGGTATAATGTTTGCCCTACCATTTTCATACTTTCTTCGGAAAGGATACATTAACCCTTGACTGGGACTTAGGCTCTGTGGGCTATTTGCTCTTGGTGCTGGGCAAGGACTGATTGGCTGGTGGATGGTCAATAGTGGTCTAGTAGAGGTAACAAGTGACAAGTATTTATTATAATGAACGACCATTAGACTTAACGATGAAGAGCTCTTTAATGTTATTATGTTTTCTTTTTCTTCTTTTAGGAACACGAATCTGAGTTTGCTGAACCAAAAGTAAGTCCTTATCGCCTTGCGGCACATTTAACTTCAGCATTTGCTATTTACTCTGGCCTCTTTTGGACTGCTCTTTCTGTTGTTATGCCTGAGCCTCCTGCTGAATCCGTAGCCTGGGTTCAAGGGTCAGCTAAAGTTAAGTGTCTGGCCCTTCCAGGAAGCATCCTAGTTGGAGTCACTGCCATTTCAGGAGCATTTTCCGCTGAAATGATGCTGTAAGTTACCAGCCTTTTCCCCTTTCGTTCTGTTATCCGCGTGCACGTGTAGAAACTACACTATAATGTGACCAATTTATGGCTGCATACAGATTTTCAGGGCCGTGCATTTAATACTTTTCCCAAAATGGGTGATACTTGGATTCCAGATGATATTTTTAGCATGAAGCCACTTGTGCACAATTTTTTTGAGAATACAGCAACTGTACAGGTTTGTTTCCCATTCAATATTAAAAGCGGCTTCTGATGCATGGATTGGGTTTGGTTGGTAAAGTAATTTAATATTTCATCGAACTTTTCAAAAACAGTTATTGAGACAATTATTGAGAGTGGGACAGCAAAGCATAATGCATTGTGATGATTACTTGTAAAATTGATAAATGGTGAACAATTTTTGGTTTTGGGGGTCTGGGGAGGTGGAACAGTGCAGTTTATAGAGATTAACGTGATCTAAAGTACATGATTACTAGTTTGATACTAAATGTTTGCTATGATTTTAATTTTATTTTTTTGTCTCTGCCTCAGCTGATTAGTTCTATCAGTGCACGACATTTTATTAATTGAAATAAAAGTGTTGGCACTAATACTATGGTTGCTGCTTAGGTTGTTTTATAGTAACCAATATAACTTTTGGCTGATTTAACTCTCTCACTCGCATCATATGCTCTACACTTGATTCTTCAATCCATCCATTTAACACAAGTGTAAGCGTTAATCTTACAGGTGCATATCTAATGATTGTTAGTCTTCGAAGAAGAAGAAAAAAATTTCAAATAATTTATTAGCAGCAAATCAACTTGCAGTTGTTTTCTCTAATTGTTTTTTTATATATATTTAGACAATATGTTCCTGATGAGTTTCTCTTGCTATTGTACCAGCTTGATCATCGAATACTTGCCACTGCAACATTGTTTTCAATTTGTGGCTTATGGTGGGTAACCAGAAAAATTGATATACTGCAATCCGGTCTTTAATAGGAAGCACTTTAGCGTGGCTGCTCTTCAGGTACACACGTGTTTACCGATGTATAATGCCCTCTCAATTCTGTCATATGTACCGGTTTCATTAGGGACAGCTCATCAAGCAGGAGCTCTAACTCTTTTTACCCTAATGATTCTTCTCGATCACACTGTGCGACGACCTTCAATGCCACTTCTCAAAACACTACCTTCTGTAGCTAAGACAGCGTGATAGGTTGGACTCGTGATTGTGTTATTACAATACCTTTTATTTTCTTTCTTGAAACGTTGGATTATCCATTTAAGGTCTGTCCTTTCAGTGTGATAGTTTGGTCCATGGAATGCCTTATGATATTGATTATGGGCCCGTTTGGTAACGAAAACTCTTCTTGTAAAAGAGTTTTTGAGAAAGCTAAGGTCAACTTTTTTTGAAAGCTTTTCTATGTAGACAAAGTACATTTAGAAAATTATCCAAAAAAGTTCAGAAGTTGTTTTTTAGTCTCAAAAGCAACTTTTGACTTTTCAATAGCCGTCCTACCAGACATGCCATAGTAAAAACTTCAGTTTAAGAGCTAAAAAATATTTCTTAAGCTCGTTAGGCTTTTTGTAACTAATTATGCATTAGAAAATTTGTCTATTATTATTTTCAAGAGTAGAAATGAATACTTTTATAGATGATTTCGAATTTATTGGGAATAAATTTTATGTTAGTTGTTTGTTGTTGCAATGTTTTCTCATGAAATGTGAACTGGGACTTGCACTATTGAATTGGGTGCCATTATTTGACTTCAAAATAATAATTTGACTTTGTGTGTGAGCAGACTTGTTGAGTGTGGAAACTGAACTAAATGCGATTTGGGGTTGGTGAAGAATCTTTAGTCCAAGAAAGTTTTCTGGGACTTTAAGGCTGCGTTAGTTTAAAAATATTTAATAAAAGATTTAGTCAATCAATGCAAAGCGTAGAGAAGAAAATTTGCAAATTTACAGACTTTGACGAAATGCAAGTCTTACTTATTACTAGAGAGAGAGAGAGAGAGAGAGTACACAAATATTCATTCAAGTTAGTATTTGTTTGAAATTAATAAGAAGACAATTAACACAAATAGGGAAAAATTGGGGTCTGAATTGAAAAATATTGATTCTCTCTCTCTTTAAAAAAAAAATTACAATATAAATCAAAGATTTAAAAAATTCGGAAATTACAGTGTGTAATTTTTTGGAAAATTACAGTGTGTGTAATTTCTTTATGATGATTGTAACTTACACCATATTCAAGTCACTCTAAGTCATATTACGCTACCCTTTGGTTTGAATAAAAATTAGATTATTAGTAGAATTTGATAAAAGTGGGTTCAGTGTATGATTGAAAAATTGATAAAAATTATGGGTCCCATAAAATTTAATGAGAATAAGTTTGAAAAAAATAAAATTGAGGGGGTTACATCACGTATTATTTGGTACAACATTTTGCACAAATAATTATTTTGTGATATACGAAGAGTATCAAACAAAGAAACTCGCGTATCTTCACAAATCATATCATATAATATCATACAAATTCCATCCATGTTATAAATCAATATTATATTGATAAATTTGAAGAAAAAAAAGACTGAAGTGTAATAAAAATTAAAAAGATTGATGAAAGCAATATCAATCGTAAATCTAAACGCCAACCAATGTAGGTATTATGATCAATCCAACTGTCAAATGTAGTACGTTTTTCGTTAGAGTGTGTAATTTTCCATAGTAACTTTAATTGTTATGCCGCCACAAAAATCAATATAGAACCATTAATTCTTAAAACCTAAATTTCAACGCCTAATTTTAAAATCCATTCTTCCTACGAATATGCTTTCCCATGTCCTCAGGGCAATGCACGTTATAATGTGGACAAAGTATTTGATATAAAATTATTTCCCATTTAAAGCTAGCAAAAACTATTAGTAATTAAGAAAATATAAGTGGTGGGGTGGGGGTGGGGTGGGTGACAATAATCAAATTTAATTTTGCACCTACTTTTGTCTTTTCAGTTTTCACAGGACTTCATAATGTGGTGGGCGGTGCATAAGTTAGTACAAATTGTTATTCTAAATCAAACTCTTATTATTATAATGATAATAATAATGTGCACATTAGAAGAAAAACTAATCACATTCATTCAAATTTGGTATGCTACAATTCGTGAAAAACTAATTATATTCATTCAAATACGGTATGCTACAATTCATATAATATATTACGTACAAAAATAAAATATCTAAAGTCGAATGTTAAAAAACGAAACATTACCAAAATATTACATTGGTGTATTTCTTATGATGACTTAGAGTGACTTGAATATCAACCAATTAACTTAGACCTTACGTCTCCCATCTGACTGTAACAATCGGGGCCCACGAACCCGACTGTTACCCACAATTGCCGATTTCGATTTTGGGCTGGAAAATCATCATTATAGGCGAGAAGAAGCTATTTTCCGAAAAAATAAATAAATCTAAATCTAGTTAACACTCAAGTATCTACCTAAATAATGAGAATAAACTAAATAAATGTTAAATTTAATATTTACCATATATGAAAAATCAATCTCATAATCCACAAAAATACTAACTTTGTTGAAGATAATGTCATTGGCGACTGATTGTGTGTCGACATTGGATTGACCGTGAAGATCTCGACTGTCATACTATGTGAGTTTTTTCTTTTTTCTTTTTCCTCTCCCATCAACCACTTTGCTCAAGATGAGAGTATTTTTGGCTTTTGATCTTTAACTTCACAATTTTAACTTTTATCTCTTTTTTTTTCTTAATGGTCAGAGATCATAATGGAAATATGGTGGGACCAAGTGGCCATTAATATGTATTTCATCGAGAGTTGGCCCGTTGTTACTATTCAAATATTCAATAATTGCATATTGAGACGGTGCCTATAGAATTTCAATTGAAGAATAAAACTTGAATGCAACTCTTTAAGTTAGAGTCCACTAGACAACCTTTCATTGACTGATTAGTTATTATACTTTCTCTCGATGACTGTGATCATTAGTTATTGTACTCTCTCTCAATGGCTGTGATCATTATAGTTGGCCCTTGTTACTCGTTTGGTTGGACTCTTCGATATTCATTCAATTCCTAATTGTAATATGTTCCTCTAATCCTCTTTATATATTACAATTCAAACAATTTATTTGATTTATTTTTACCAAAACATGAATTTCGAGAGGTCACATATTAGTGCAATAATTATTGGGGCGTCCATTTGAGGAAGGTTTAATTCTAACAAAAAAATTGTTGGTTATGCGATGCTTGCAATCTCTCTCACCCAATTTTTCTAGTGTCATTGATTTTTGTAGTTTTACTTCGAGATGTTATACTTGTTTATTTTTTTTGCTATTTTAATTTCGATTTTGAATAATTAGATAAATTTTATTTTTGTTTTTATCTCGTGCGGTGGACGGAAAGATTCCACAAGAAATGTACTAGCTAGTTTAGGACATGTTTAAGCATTATTTTTTTTAGAATATATTTTGAAATAGTATATTGATGAAAAATGCGCAATTGAAAAATTAAAAAAATGAATTTACGAACATTTTCAACTCAACAAGAAAATAGTATATTGATGGAAAATGTGTAGTTGAAGAATGTGATTGAAAAAAAAAAATTTGTATCTTGATAATAATAAAAATTAAACAATGGCTCAACGTCACATTCCTATTTTTGTAGTCTCATAAATACGAAGTTAAGAATGGGCCCCACACTTTGTAAATTTCCAACTCAACAAACTTTTATTCAACAATGGTTCCTCGGCAGACACACCAACACATGTGACACGCGCATCTATATATATGTACACACACGCATACATTCAGGACAGTGTACACACAAAATCTTGACCAATTACGTTTTCTCTGCAGCCTGCCTAGCAATTCACGCCATTTTCTGCAATCCAAGAGTGAATCAAGAATGGCGGAGGAGAGCGTAAAGAAATGGGTGTTGATGGTGACGGCACAGACGCCGACGAACATAGCGGTGATTAAGTACTGGGGTAAGAGGGACGAGAAACTCATTTTGCCCATCAATGATAGCATCAGCGTCACTCTTGACCCCTCCCACCTCTGCACCACCACATCCGTCGCCGTCAGCCCTGATTTCACCCACGATCGCATGTGGCTCAATGGAAAGGTATACCAATCGTTCGTATAATTCTTAATTAATTGTCTCGTCTATGAGCTTAAGCCATTAGAGTTATGCTGCCTGTATTCATTTGAATCTTGTCTTCAACAAGCCCACCCTCCGTCCCTCGTGTGTAGGCGTGCATAATTTTTATTAAATGAGAGGAGGCGAGAGCTCTAATACATTCTTAACAATCACATTTATAATCTTAAGCACATAGTTACAGATACATGTAATGATTCAAATCTCGTTATGTTTAGTGTTGATCATTAATCTTATTATTTAATTTGTCATTCCTTTGATTTCGATTATAGTTAAGTCTTACTAGATAAGAGGAATTGAAAGTAGACGCTGTCAAATTTAATTTGACATCAATTCTTGCACAACTGTGCTTAGCTCTGTTGAGTAGAGTTGCTTTTTCTTCCTTAAGATTTCAGCTGGAAAGATTCTTTTTTTTTTTATATATATATATTTATTGTGATCAGAAGTAGCGATGTTTGGTGGAAGAGGTTCTGATTTCATGGTTTATTTATGAATTCTTGGATAATGTAGGAGATGTCCCTTTCTGGAGGTAGATACCAAAATTGTTTAAGGGAACTTCGTGCACGTGCTAGTGAAGTTGAGGACGAGGAGAAAGGTATTAAGATCACAAAGAAGGATTGGGAGAAGCTTCATGTGCATGTTGCTTCTTATAACAATTTTCCTACTGCTGCTGGATTAGCTTCATCAGCTGCTGGTTTTGCTTGCCTAGGTAAATATAAACTCCCTCTGTAATAATGAATAGATATGACAACATTACACCTTTTTTTTCCTGTTGTACAATAAAATCTGTAATTAAAATTTTTGGTTAATGGAATTTATGAAGTGGTTGCCTTCAAACCTCAAGAGACAATAAACATCATAGAAGTGAAAAATCACATTGATTTGATGGGACGTGAGGGGTCTATGAAACACTGTATATTTTAAAGGAGAAAAGGTGGTGAACAAGTAATGGGATTTTGTGATGATTTTAAGTGTGGTCATGCTATTCTCTAAGAGTACTTTGTTAATTTAATTGATCTTTGATGCTATCTGTTTGAGATAAGTTATTTGACCAAAATATAAGTTTTGCTAGACTCCAGTTCTACTACTAGGCCACATGGTTGGTTTACACTTCATATTTATTGGTGAGTCATAAAAAATGTCTTTTTTTTACAATTTACAATACTTTATATTTTGTCATAATAGTTTTGAGAAGGTTGACTTGCATTTAAAATGCTCTTTATTGACCTGAAAATCTAGACATTCCAGAGTCAATAGAACTCAACTAACTCTCCATCTACTTGTGCAACTTATGCACACTCAAGATACACGTTAGATTGCAAGACCGTTGAACCGGAAGGGGGTGTAACGTTGTTTGCACTTCGAAACTCAAGTCAAAATGTGGGAATGGGAGACAAATTGACGGAGCTTTGGTTGGGAAATATTTCATTTATTTTGGTTGAGATTTTTTAAGGGGTATTTATAGGAGCAAGTGGCCAAAAGAAGATTTCTTCATTTTTTTTGGGTGGGCCCATCCCCTTACCTAGGCTGATGTGACGGGAGGTCAACACCGTCACGTCACTTACTCGAAGTGGGTTGTCTAAAAAGGGTTACTTTTTGCATGAGCTGTCTGCAACCTTTCTCGTAATACCGATTGTCATATGATGCAGGCCTACCTCATCCTACCTTGCTATGTCTAGTCACTTTCTTTCCCACTTAGGGTATTAAGAAGGTTGACCTTCATTAGGTTGGTAGCTGTTACATTGAAAACCGCAAACGTAAGGGATCGTTATAAAAGTAATAAGATTTGTGAGTTAAGAGTATCATTTCCACAATGAATAAAGTCTAATTTGTAGTTGAATAACTACTATTAAATTCGAAATGTGGTGACATCAAAAGAGTTGTGATTTGTTAGTTATTTATTCTAATTCTACTCTAAGAAAGTAATTAATTAATCTAATGTGAATGTTTGTATTAGATTCAAGTATCTCCCTATTTCCATTTATTTTAATTCTTAATAATTAATCTATTCAATTCATGCATTCTTGATAACCGATAAAGCTAATATGTTAAATGTTATTTCCCCAAGATACATTAACCTATGACTAACACGAAACGATCATATTCATAGTCCGAATTCATATGAAAGTCATGCATTTAGTTTAGATTATGAATAAGATTGCATGTATGAAAGAGACTATTCCTAACTCTAACTACACATTTTAATTTTACCGCATTCTAGACATATTGTGAGTAATCCTACACTACAATAAGCAACTAACTATTCAATTCATGGCCGAACAACCAAATAGTGCAACGAGTAAAAAATTCCTAAATTAATGTCTTGAATTGATATAAATAAAAATAGGGTTCAAACAGTCATCCAATACAATTGAAAAACTAGTTTAACATGTTTAAAATTAAATTAGAAAAGAAAATTTTCTTCTGAAAAGAAACCATTCGTATTCATAACTCAAGTTGGATAACTCTCAAATAGCTTAAAGGAAATTGGAAAATATCATCCCGGAAAGAAGAAAATTGAAGAATTAGGATTTTTTCACATTCTTGATGTGAATCTTGAATCCGGATGAAGAATTTTCAATATCCTATACAATTCGCATTGATTCCACGTTGTTAGCTTTGTTCTTCGCCTCCACAATTGATTAGAATCTATGAATTTTTTAAGGTCTAAGGAAGCCCCCACAATTTGGACGGCTTATGGTATATATAGAGTGACAAAATATTGTATACTAAAAGTTTTCAAAACAAAATAAGGAAACACAATTTTTCCCTGGAATTGAACCATGCGTATGCATGGTTCATTTGGTGTGTACGCACAGTAGACTCCAATAGCCTCAGTCAACCTAAATAAGGTTTGTGTGCACATAAGGCCTACAGGCCTATGGTACACATGGTATTACCATTTTTTGACCAAATTGTATATTGGTCCTTGAATTTTCCTAAGTGTATATTTTGATCATTTTCGACAAATTTTTCATTCTGTTGGCTTCTCTTCACCTCCAATTGACCCTGACATTCTTGAATTGCCGTCTTGCAATCCGACACAACTATTGGAATGTTGCACTTTAGTCTCCATAGTTTGGATTTCATCATTTTTCCGTTATTTCTTCCAATTCTTTATACAATCATCAAGTTGTACCTATTAAACAACAAATTAGGCCATAATCCGTCCAAAAAATAACAAGATATCATCATTTAGGATCTCGAATAAGTATAGAAACTACACTTATCAGTAGCCTAACACGCATCTCATACAAAGTGACCTCCTTAATATTTGGTGTCTATGAACAGATTTTGCTCAACAAATTATCTTTGGCTCATTTTCCAACGCTTAGTCAACTTGCATACATGCTTCCTTCCTTGGGTTGGGGAGGCTTTATGATGCTTGAGTGCGTATACTCGGCTTAGGCCTCGTACTTGTTGGCATCTTGCACTTAATGTTACCCAATTTTTAAATATAATCCGTAGTCTTGGGTTTCCTCCACATTGCGTAGGTCGCCTCATAACTCGAAGGCTGAGCTCGTCCTCATTACTGAGACTTGTGCATTGGCCTCATCAATTAAAACAATGCTAGGTGTAGGCTTCATCCTTGAAGGATAGGCCTCATTCATGATAGGCTGGCTTTATCCTTGAGGAGTCGGCCTCATCCATGATTTGTCCACATGGCTGTTGTGGGCATCGATCCCCACCTGACCCCTATGTGGCATCAACTAAAACTTAATGTAAGATGGAGGTGTACAATTTTGTTATCTGCAAAAGTTTCGATTACCATGCAAAGGTAGTTTATTTCAGGCCTCAAAACATTTCATGAAGATTTAAGCCCATGTTTGAGCTCCATTCTTTAAAACTCATTTTTCCCCCAACTCATTTTCAACTGCATATTCTCCAATAAAATAATTTTGCTTGTAAAATCAAAACTTCTCCCTACTTTATAATCACACATTCTTATAAGAAAATAAAATAAAATAAATAAAAAAATAAAAAATCAATTTTTACAAAATCTATTCTCCAAAAAAGGGCTCAAATAGAAGCTAAATCTTAATATGTTTTTAAAAATTTGCTAGTTGAACCACAATCATTACATTTATTTTACATGTTTTACACAGTAAATTGATCGTATTGTATGTCTGCTTGCTTTAATAGTATAGAAACAGAAATTTTGATTGTCGAAGTTTTGGGATAAGTAACCTTTACCAGTCACCTTTTATTTGTTCTTTTCTTTTACAGTTTTTAGCCTTGCTAAGCTAATGAATGTGAAAGAAGATCAGAGTAAACTTTCTGCCATAGCAAGGTATATGTTTATCCCTATGTACATTTCTTTAATGAACTTTGGTCCATGGTCAGTTGTGCATGCATTTTCAGTTTGGTGGGATACAGATAACGTCTATTTATTGTTATATAGACTCCCACATATTATTTTCCCTCTTAATTTACGCTCTGTCTTAGAGATTTTCTAGAGTTTCTGTACACCTTGTTTTATTTGTATTTAAGAGAATTATGCAAACATAGAAACCTGATCCTTCTTCATATTCTCATTTAGGCAAGGTTCAGGAAGTGCTTGTCGCAGCCTGTATGGTGGATTTGTGAAGTGGATCATGGGAAAAGTACGAATGGAATCTAAGTTTTATTATAGTTTATGCTTTCTCGATAGCACAAAAGCATGCCACTGGCCGTTAATTTCTCTTTTTAATTCCTTTTTTTCCCAATGTCTTCAGGAGGAAGATGGGAGTGACAGCGTGGCTGTTCAACTTGCAGATGAGAATCATTGGGATGACCTTGTGATTATCATTGCTGTCGTATGTACCCGTTCTCTTTCAAACAGTCATGGTTTACCATATAAAACATTCATTATCATCTTTTGAGTACACTTAGTTCTCAAGATATAAGATCATGATTGCAGATATCTCACGTCTTCAAATTTCTCTTAAAAACCGGGAATGTTTTCCTTAGCTAACAAAATAACTCTTTTGGTTTGTGTAAGATTAATGCTAAGGTGCAAACAATAAATACAATTTCGCTTACATTTGATTCCTCTTCTTATTATCTCAATTGTTTATATTCATCCTCTTACTAGTACTGCATTCCTTCGTATCTATTCTCATTACGTTCTAGTGCTAAACGTATTTTTTAGTCAATTAAAGAATTTGTTGCCTTTTCTTGGTGAAGTTTTAGGTTGTGTGATTCTAAAATTTAAAATTTCTCCTATTCTTCTACTTTTCTTACAAAATGACTACAGCTTGGATGTTGCAAGGACTATTTTCAACCATTGGCCAATAACATATTGATTTATATATATTTTCATATATAGTTATTTATAGGTTTGAATTTCTAATAATATTTTTAAACATGCACATTTAATTTTTGAATTAAAAATACAATATTTAAAATAGCAAAAAATATATATTATATTATTGACGTGTGCTTTTTAAAGTTGAAAAGGGTGAAAAATAAATAAATCTAAATGTCCTACTACTTCTCTCCTTGTGACGCATCTAAAATCCATCAAGATTCTTTCTTGTGAAGCAGATATGCTGGTTTGGTTTCACATGATAAGTATTCTGTGAAACAGCTTTTAATTTTTATTATTAAAATGATTCTGCTATTGATTTCAGGTAAGTTCACGGCAAAAGGAAACAAGTAGTACCTCAGGGATGCTTGAGACAGTCGAAACCAGTATGCTCATACAGCATAGAGCAAAGGTATAGAATGGTCCTCCTAATCCTCGAGTACTTTGTTATATTTTTCCTCGATTTTGAAATGCTATATGCTTCATTGCTTCTTAAGTGATTCCAAGGAACTTAACAATTTCTGATATGCCTTTTCTTTTGTGACTGATGCTGATGACCAATCCGCTCTCTTTGATATCGAGACTTGGATTTGCCACAATTCTCATTTACATATTCTACTCTTACAGGAAGTAGTACCCAAACGCATAATTCAAATGGAGGAAGCAATAAAGAATCGTGATTTTCCATCTTTTGCTCGTCTGTCTTGTGCTGACAGTAATCAATTTCACGCAGTCTGCCTGGATACAAGCCCCCCTATATTCTACATGAATGACACATCTCATAGGCAAGTGTTCTTTCCAGATTGATTCACTATCCTTGGGGGTTGCTTGTGATTGTCCTCCTTTTTTTATTTCAAACATAGTTTCATAAATCGTAATTTTAATATCGTCGAGGCATTAACTTTTCAGGATAATCAGCTGTGTTGAGAAATGGAATCGTTTTGAAGGAACCCCTCAGGTTCTTTCTCCTCTCTTCGCTGATCTTGTTCTAAAACACGATGTGCATAATTGTTCTCCGGGGATCTGTATGACAAAATAAGAAATTAATAAATGGCATTCCCAAGACTTACTAAGTTCTAATGATAATGTATAGACAGGAAAATACAAGGTGGGCTTTAATATCTACATTTTAACTGTGATGAGCATGTCGTGTTTCATTCTTGTAAACAATTGTTGAAGAAACTGCTTCTGAATATTGACTCTTTTGTTTTAATATGCTTATAACTTTGACATGAAACTTACTGCCAGAATTAATTGAACACGGTCTATTTCCCCAGGTTCATCTTTGAGCTAATTGGAAAAACTTGTCGTCCTTTTTCCTCTTTTCCCCCTTCATTATGTTTATACATTGTCAAATCCACTTTAAATGCATGCTCGTTTACCTTTTGTTCATACTATGCCTTCAAAGAGCAAAATGTACTGATGGGCATAAATATCAGTACAGAAGTAGAATTGTTTGAGTAGTAATCACTTCTCAAACTCTGACATAATGAATGAGCGCAGCGGACGTTGTCTATGGTTTTTTTTTAATTCAGACATCGACTAACAATAAGATATTTATCAGGTGGCTTATACCTTTGATGCTGGGCCAAATGCAGTTCTCATTTCTCATAATAGAAAGACTGCTGCCCTTCTGCTCCAGAGACTGCTCTTTCACTTCCCTCCTAACTCAGATACCGACTTGAACAGGTACCTTTCTCAATTTGGAATCTGTACGTTAAACTGATTCAAACATATTAATATATGGATAAATGTTTAACTGTATCATGCTGAAATCAAATAAAATATTCTTTGATTTACTCTTGAGATAAATCCGTCTTATCTGCTCTTTGCCATGTGCTCGCAACTTTCCAGTTATGTTATTGGTGACAAGACAATTTTAAAAGATGCGGGCATTCAGAACATGAAAGATGTGGAAGCTTTGGCTCCGCCACCAGAGACTAAAGATAACATTCAAACACAGAAGTACAAGGGAGATGTTAGTTACTTTATCTGCACAAGACCCGGGAGAGGTCCAGTACTGCTAACCGATGAAAGTCAAGCTCTTCTTGACCTCAAAACTGGGCTCCCCAAGTAAAGAGGGACGAATTCTGCATTTTGGGTGTATTTTCTTACTAAAAACTGGGAGCATTTCATTATCTTTAATTAGGGTGTACTGCTTTGACACGTTTCAGTACCCCAAACAATTTGTAGTTTTGATCACATTCCTTGTTCTATTTGTTATGAACTATCAGACAAATTTGTTCAAGCATCTCGTCCACGATGATACCAAATAAATGTCAACCTTCTTCATGGACATAAAAGAAATCTAGCATTAAGATATGTAGAAATCTTTGAGGAGATGTATGAATTTCTGCATTCATTCTCATTGATCTTCTGGAATTACAGAGTACACATATATATACAAATGCCCTAGCTGTAAACTGCATAAATCAAGGAAAAGAAAAGGAAACCTAATAAAGAGGAAAATCTTCCTCTAAGATGGGAAACAATAAAAATAGAAAAGATCTGGTATAATACCAAAATCTTAAATATAGAAATAAACTTCTTTCCTAAACAAGCTGAGGAATGTATTTCAACTCTCCCCCTCAAGTTGGGTTGTATATGTTGAACATTCCCAACTTGCTGCTTAGTTCCTCAAAGTTGATTCTTGGAAGAGCCTTTGTAAGAATATCTGCAATCTGAGACTTTGTAGGAACATAGATTAGCTGCACAACTTCATTCTCGATCTTCTCTGTGATGAAATGACGATCTATCTCGATATGTTTTGTCCTATCATGATGAACAGGGTTCTTAGCAATGCTTATGGTAGCTTGATTGTCATAGAATATCTTGATAGATCCCTGTTTGCTTACTTTTAACTCATCAAGTAATCTCCTTGTCCACATACCTTCACAAATTCCAAGTGCAAGGGCTCGAAATTTTGCTTCTGCACTACTCCTTGAGACCACAGATTGTTTCTTGCTTCTCCATGTTACAAGATTTCCCCACACATAGGAGCAATAACCAGATGTAGATCGTCTGTCTAGTAAATTTCTTGCCCAGTCAGCATCTGAGAAAACTTCAACTTCTTTGTTGGAATTCTTCTTAAACAACAATCCTCTTCCCGGTGTCATTTTGAGATATCTCAAAATTCTATACACAGCTTCCATGTGTTCTTCTGTTGGATTGTTCATGAATTGGCTAACAACACTGACAGAAAAACCAATGTCTAGCCGAGTATGAGAAAGGTAAATTAGGCGACCAACAAGTCTTTGATATCTCCCCCTATCCACTGGAGCACTTCCTTCTTCTGTCCCTATCTTCTTGGTTGGATCCATGGGTGTGTCAGCAGGCTTACACCCTAGCATGCCAGTCTCTTTTAGTAGATCCAGGATATATTTCCTCTGAGAAATAAATATTCCTTGCTTTAACCGAGCCACTTCCATCCCAAGAAAATATCTCAGATAACCGAGGTCCTTGATCTCAAATTCCCTGGCCAAGTACTTCTTCAAGTTCAATAATTCTTCCTCATAATCCAATCAGTATGATGTCATCCACATAAACAATGAGAATGGCAATTTTCTTGTCTTGGGAAAACTTCACAAACAACGTATGATTTGACTGGCATTGATTGTACCCGTTACTGATTAAGGACTTTGTAAATCTACCAAACCAGGCACGAGGGGATTGTTTCAGGCCATATAGAGATTTTCGAAGTTTGCACACCTTGTTGCTATAAGACAGTTTTCCTAGCCCCTGAGGAATCTCCGTGACTCCAAGTATGCTTCTTCATCCAAGTCACCATTTAGAATAGCATTTTTCACATCCAATTGGTGTAGGGGCCAGTCTTAGTTTGCTGCTAGAGAAAGAAGTACTCGAATAGTGTTGAGTTTAGCCACTGGAGCAAAAGTCTCCTGGTAATCTATCCCATAAGACTGAGTGAACCATTTCGCAACCAAGCGAGCCTTAAATCTCTCAATGCTCCCATCAGCTTTATGCTTGACTGTAAAAATCCACTTGCAGCCTACTGGTTTCTTTCCTTGAGGTAGCTATGAGATTATCCAAGTGCCATTCTTTTCTAAGGCATTGACTTCTTCATTCACAGCCTTTCTCCACTCTGGATGTTTAAGGGCTTCCTGAATAGAACTTGGAACCTGCACATTGTCAAGAGTAGAGACAAAGGCTTGATAGGACTTTGATAGTCCTTCATATGACACAAATTTAGAGATTGAGTGCTGAGTACAGTTTCTAACTCTATTTCGGTGTGCAAGTGGGATATCTAGATCATCAACCATAGGACCAATGGGACTAGGGTCAGAGGAACTATTACCTAGGTGAATTTCTGAAGAAATTGTATTCATTTCAGATTCTTGACTGTACTGAAACGGAACTGAGTGCTCTATATCCTTTCCGGGCCCCATCTTCCTGGCATAGACATGAAGATCCTTGATTGCAAGTTGTGGAAACATACTTTGACCTGGACTTTGGCCAGATTGAAGATTGGTATTGTCTTGTGAAGGTGAATTTTGACTCTCAGACTGATTGCTCTTTTGATGAGAAGATGATTGTTGGTTAGGACTTGGTAGAGTGGATGATTGTTGAGTCTGGGAACTACCATGATCAATAGTTTCAGATTGAGATGAGGGTTGCAATGCCACTACAGGGTCTATTGTCTAAAGGTTCAACAAAGTTCCAAATTTGATGTTCTCTCACCCTCTCCCCCTGAATATCGGATTTGGGATAAAAGGATTGATGTTCAAAGAATGTAACATCCATGGAATTGTATATCTTCCTTGTGACTGGTGAGTAGCACTTATATCCTTTTGATGTGAAGAGTACCCCAGAAATATACATTTTATGGATTTAGGATCTAATTTTTACGGTGTTGGGCATCGATGTGAACAAACACCGAGCACCCAAATATCCTGATAGGTAATGAGGAAATGATTTTAGTGGTTGGGAAAATCTTTTTGAGGACATGGCAAGGTGTTTGGAATTTTAAGATCCTAGAAGGCATTCTATTGATGAGATATGTGGCCATAAGGATTGCTTCCCCCCAAAAATGTTTTGGTACATGCGTGGAGAACATAAGTGAACGTGCAACCTCTAGCAAGTGTCTATTTTTCCTTTCTGCGATCCCGTTTTGCTAGGGTGTATCAACACAAGAGCTTAGGTGAACAATACCCTCTTTCAGTAGGTAGGTGCCTAGGACAGATTTGAAGTAATCTTTAGCATTGTCAGTTTTGAGGACCTTGATTTTTGTCTGAAATTGGGTCTGTATCATTGCATTGAAATTTTGGAAGATTTCGCTAACCTCAGATTTTTCTTTCATCAGGAATATCCAAGTAAGTCTTGTGTGATCATCTACAAAGGATACAAACCACCTAGCTTCTGTTATATTTTTTACCCTAGATAGACCCCAAACATCACTATGGATCATGGCAAATGGATGAGATGGTGTGTATAACAACCTGGGAAAGGAAGTTTGAGTGTGTTTGGCAAGTTGACTGATTTCACAACTAAAAGACTTTGAATTTTTATTATTGAATAAGGAAGGAAATAATTTTTCAAGATACATAAAATTCGGATGACCAAGACGATAGTGCCATAACATTATTTCACTATCTTTATTGACACTTGAACTAGACTGACTCTTAAAAGAAATACAACTTGCATTTTGGACTTGTCCTGTTGGAAGAGTAGCACCCTTGAGAAGATAGAGTCCAGAGTCCTCTTCAGCACTGCCAATCATCTTCCCCGAATCCAATACCTGAAATTCACACAAGTTGTGACAGAATTTAGCAACACAATTATGGTCTCGGGTCAATTTACTTATTGATAGTAAATTGCAATCTAAATTAGGGACATGAAGCACGGATTTTAACACGAGGTCCTTCGTAACCCAAACTGAGCCACTTCCGGCCACCTTAGCCAAAGATCCATCTGCTATACGAACAATTGAGTTTTTATCACATGGCCTATACTCAGAAAAAATGTTAGCATCTCCTGACATATGATCTGATGCCCCCGAGTCAATAATCCATGGCCTTGTATGTCCTCTATTTACTGTAAGGGCATTTAAGTGTTTACCTTTCTGGGCAAGCATACTTGTCCCTGAGGTAGAACCGGCTTTTGAGAAGAGCTCTTGGAGGACTTTGAGCTGTTCCTTAGTAAATGGACTGGATTCTGTAGTGTTGTGGTGGTCATCTGAAGTTGTTGCAGAATTAGCCCGTCCTTCTTTGAATTAGCCCGTCCTTCTTTCTCGTGGCTGGAACGGGATGGCTTCCAGTCAGACGGTTTGCAATGAATTTCCCAACACGTCTTCCTTAGATGCCCTGGTTCTCTGCAGTGATCGCACCATGGTCGTCCTCGTCTATGTCGACTATTGGAATTGTTATTACTGTTCGGAGGTACTCCGCGCACAGCGAAGGCAGTTCCATCCCCAGTTTCTCTAGTGATTTGATTATCACTAACTCCTCGAATTGCGAGGGCAGAACCTTCTGTGCTTATATCGCCATTTGAATTAGATCCCATCATTACCTTTTTTCTACTTTCCTCATGCCGGACTTTCGAGAAGGCTTCACGGACCGATGGAAGAGGTTTCGTTCCCATTACTTTTCCACGAACGTCATCAAGATTTTTATTTAGCCCAAGCAGAAATTTAAATGTACGTTTCTGGTCCACAATCTTCTTGTACTGGAATGCATCTTCAGGACACTTCCAATTATGGCTTTCAAACATATCTAGCTGCTGCCAGTACCGGGTGAGGGCGTTATAATACTGAGAGACTAAGAGATCACCTTGCCTGAGATCATGGAGTTTGCCCTCAATTTCAAATAGTTCTGAGGTATTTTCAGAACTTGAATATGACACCTTCGCTGCATCCCATATGTCCTTAGCCGCCTGGTAAAGAAGGAAATTCTCCCCTATTTCGTTGATCATTGAGTTTATGAGCTAGGACATGACCATATGATTTTCTGTCTTCCAGGCCTTGAATCGAGGATCAGTTTTTTCAGGAATTTCGATCTCCCCTGTGAGATATTCATCCTTTCCTTTGCCGCAAATATACATCATCACGGATTGGGACCACTGTAGGTAGTTGTCTCCATTGAGTTTGACTGGTGATGGTTAAAGATAATCCATCAGATCCTCCAGGATTGCTCGCTGCCAGTGGTGAGCCTTCTGTTTTGGAGGTGACGTCAGAAGATTGGCTTGAAGCCATACCGTATTTTGTCATGAGAATGCTACAGACCTTCAGAGAATTTCAAGCTCTGCTACCATGTAGAAATCTCTGAGGACATGTATGAATTTCTGCATTCATTCTCATTGATCTTCTGGAATTACAGAGTACACATATATATACAAATGCTCCAGCTGTAAACTGCATAAATCAAGGAAAAGAGAAGGAAACCTAATAAAGAGGAAAATCTTCCTCTAAGATGGGAAACAATAAAAATAGAAAAGATCTGGTATAATACCAGAATCTTAAATATAGAAATAAACTTCTTTCCTAAACAAGCTGAGGAACGTATTTCAACAAGATATGAAGCTTGTGAATTTACATCAAATTTTCAAATCACAGCCACAAATCACTTTGAATTTAAAGTGCAATTTCTAGTGAACTCTATATTAAGAATCAAGTTGTACGGAATCATAATGTGTGGAATCAAGGCTAGTTTGATGCCCTTTGAAGCAAGGTTACTCATACTGCTTTGCCCACACGGATCTATGGATTGCTAGCCCCCTTGTTTTGATAGAAATGGCAACCTACTGGCGGGCACACAAGCAGGGGCTAGCTTGCTAGTGACTATCGTTAGGGACCTATACCTATATGTCCTAAGCTTGAGGTTAGGCTCATCCGGTCTCTGTCTTTCCTTTCAAAGATAGGATTTTTGTTCATCACTGAATATGGCAAGTTCTCTTTGGTTGAATGCTTGTAGAGCTTATTCCTTTACTTGAATAGCTTAATTCTTCTTATGCAATTTCAAGTAATTTTGTATTCACATTGTAAAACAAAAATCATTATAAAACAAGATCCTCATATCAGTTGAATGCACACTACTTCCCATGAAACTATCCAATCTTACATACCAAACATGTTATAAGAAACTTGAACAACATATTTTGAAAATAACAGCCACTAATCAATTTAATTCGCAATGCAATTTAAATGCATGTCATGAATCAAGTTGTACAGAATCATGACACAAGGAATCAAGTATTAGAAATACTGTTCAAGAAGCATATAACAACCTATACTGCAGTTACTTCTTCTACCCTGTCAAAAGGGTTTTCAAGATTGAGTCTTTTATAGCACCATCAGGATAAGCAAACAGATGTCCAGCATCTGGTATTTCGTGGTATTGTACCCAAGGAAGCTTCTTGGAAATGTAGCGTTGCAGTGAAATAGGCACCAATCCATCCTCAACGCCTTGCCACAAATGAACAGAACCTTCTCTATCAGAAAAAGGGTTCTCGAGATCAATAGGGTCAAATTCCCATTGCCCGAACCCGACCATCATGTCTAGATGGAGGGACTCGAATACTCCTTGCTGAGTTGCATATTCCTATACACAAACAAGGTTTAAAATCGATGTATATATCTATTGATATATAATGTGCATTCACAGGTACACAACAACAAAATCAGTACCCTTATCAGTTTTTTGGCTAATTTGGAAACTATTTTCAAATCTGAGGCCGAAAGAGCAGGTCTTCCAGCCGTAACACTAGAGGAAGGAAACCACTTCTGAGTGTTCCACCAGTAGACGAGCCATGGCATATAGTGTGCCACTCGAAGTGCCCACTGGTCCTCCCAGGGCTGTTTATTGTATGCTTCTGTAGATGAGTTCGCAGGAAAATTAGACCACCAGTAATTGACAACTGGAGCAATCAATACTGCTCCTGCCAGCCTGCATCATGTGAGAATTAAAGAAACAAGTAAAAATACTATAACTGCAGCCAGAGGATAACAGAAACACAAGTGCCTGAAGACGACCTGAGAGAGAGACTCATTCCTGTACAATGAAAGGTGACAGTTAAGTTTCAGGTTTCACACAAATATTTTTGCCAGTAATTATGGATCGTGCCCGAAAATGTTAACCTAATGTAACTTAGGGACATTGACACATTGCTTAACAAACCCAAAATGCGCATCAAACAGCATGATATGGTATTTATTCTTGGGCGAGCTATTTTTCTGAAACATGTTCAGACCGAAGAGTATAATATACGAGATTTTAACTTATATTCTTCCTTAATATTGTCATGTACTCTCGAGTTGACCTTACCAAACATAACAATAATGTTCTTTTTCGTATTATATTGAGTTGTAACTCTTTGTTTGTCATTCACTTTCTCGACTTCCCTTCGAACGCTATTCGTAAATCTTGCTTTGTCATGATGGTTTAACTTGAAAATACAAGAAGCTCCATAGTAATTGATGTACCTACATATTACCTGTGTGGAATGTACTTGAGGCAGCCCCACACAACATTTCCTCCCATGGAAAATCCAATGACATAAAATCTAGAACCAAGTTCTAGTTGTTCTCCAAGATCTTCTATATCTAAAGCTGTGCTTTTTATGGTTCGTTTTGGATCCGGATCACTCTCCCCATAACCTGGTCTGTCGAAAGACACGAAGTGTATTCCCAATTCTTCGACCAATGACTAAAAGGTCAAAAAATACATTGATTAATTAGCAACAGCAAAAACTTAGTTGATGCACGAAGAAATTTAACTAACTTAACAACCAGTTACAATAATACCGATGTAGCAAGAGCAGCATCATGTCGACTAGAGGTGTAACCATGAACCAAGATGATCTTATATTTAGCTGTTTCTTTTGGGACTCCATGCTCCTTATAGGCTAAATGTCTTCCATCTCTAAGCTTGATCCGGGGTCCTGTAATCGGTGGACCGCCAAGAGAACCACAAATACGGGGAGGTGGAGGCCTAAAGGACTGGTGTGCCAATGCTAGAAATCCAATCAACAAGACTACTATGATTTTCCAAGACATTGCCCAATATATAAAAGCTGAAGCATTGAACATCTTTAGTAAGTGTCTGAAACCAACAATTTTTGTGACATAAATCCCAAGATACAAAGTAAATATGGAGCAATCAATACCTTACTTTGATCCACGTTAAATGCTATTTTCCCTATATTCAATCTCTAACTCGTAAGCATGTTTGATTAATAGTCTTGCATGCTATTTTATAGGTAGGGAGTTTTGGGAATTGACTTGATATTGTCCCAATTTAAATGGGAATTTGATTATATTGTATCAAGTAAAATGTACACATTCACCGAGCTAATAGATAGTCATGGATTATCTTGGAGTCCTTCCCTGTAACCTTATTGGGTATATGAGACGTGGTTTCTTTTAGTGTCTTATGCGTACTGACCACTTTAAATGTGATAGATACTAAAAGCACAGATAGCTGCAAATGGGTGACACAATCTCAGATCAATTTTTCACACACACACAGAAATTTCTTTTACAGCTTGTGGTTGGAGAGAACCAATTTTCTAATACAATTATAGTTCTACTTTTCGTCAAAAAAAAAAAAAGCATCCCATAATCATCTAATTAAATAAATAATCGGAAATCGGGAAGTATATTACCACATAGCACATTCCAATGAAATTAGCAGACACCAAAAATTGCAAACAACTCCCTTTTCCTTTAATAAGGAAATTCAAAGTTCGTGCTGTAAGAAGTTATGCTAACCACATTAAGCATAACACACACACACACACACACACACACATATATATATATATATAGAGAGAGAGAGAGAGAGAGAGAGAGAGAACCTGAAAGAAGGGAGCCAAGAGGAGGTGGAAATATTTGAGCAGCTTATGTTTATTTCAGTGCATTGCATTATAAGCCAAATAGATGTGGTATGTATGGTATTGGTAGATAGATAGATGCATAGGTAAAAACATTTCATTATTGAAGTGGGTGGATTAGTTGTGACTATATGACACATTTAGAGCATGTACAAGAGGATGGTGGGTCCTAAATAGTTGAAGGAAGTTGCATTTGGATTACTCATCTTCAATTTGCGAAATTGTTCTCTTGTCTACCGTGGATGGAATAAGACTACCCATTTGCTAATATGGCGGGAGAACCGTAAATAAGGTTATTTTCAAGTGGGCAAGATAAGATTTTCCACTGTGAGCATGATAACATTTGTGCTTTAATTTGATACATATACGCAAATTTCATTAATTTGTACATTATCATCCGTTCATTTAATCTTAATACAACATGTGCAAAAAGTTTTTGTTTGGTAGAAATTCTTTAAAACTCATTTTTCAAACATGTTCTTTCAATAAAAATAATTTTTTCTTACTTTTTAATCATATATNATATTTTTATTAAGTATTCTAAAAATGTATAATAATAGGTCCCTCCATAGCATCAGGTAACCATATATGAGTGCGATTCTAGCTATATTCATGATGATGAGAAGATCCTCGTATCAGTAGAAGCAGCTCCTTCTCACAAGTTAGCAAGACGAGGAGTGCAATTGGCATCGAGCAATTTTCACATAACGGATAAAGTCTCGAAATAAATATTATCCAAGAAATAATACAGAGTCAAGATGTATATTACAACCTATACTGCAATTACTTATCCCCTGTCAAAAAGTGTATTCAAGATTGAATCTTTTAAGCCATTATAATCAGCATATGCAAACACATGTCGAGCATCTGGTATGTCAAGGTATTGTACCCAAGGAAGCTTCTTGAAAATGTAGCGCTGCAGTGAAATGGGCACCATACCATCCTCAATGCCATGCCCCAGATGAACAGAACCTTCTCTATATCCGTTAAAGGGTTCTCAAGATCGATAGGATCGAATGTTGTAACTTTATTAATACTTAAACTTTATGATCTTACCAAGATCTTCATGTCAAACCATCAAGAAACTGAATTAACACGGAACATACCTTAATCAATTGATTTCTGACTTAAATAATGAATCTTGATCTGTAAATTTTCAATTTGGTTGCTTCAAATCTCCATCTTAATTCCTGGTTGTGGATTTTATGGATCTTCCTTTTCATATGCTTTCCCTTATATTCTTGTGTTGATGATATGACATAAAAAATGAGAAAATCACACATGAATTGCCAATTGGGGACCATAACCCTTTATATATTTCCATATGTATTCAGCCCATCGTCAAATACAAACCCTAATGGATCCGATCTCTACACACATAGTCCGGTCCACACGTTATTTAGATACTTAAAGCCCAATTACTTAATTCCTTATTAGATCACTTTAATTTTGGGTTTAACTTTAGGGAAAAAATTATATTTAAGGTGTTTTCTTTACCTCAATTCAAAAATAAGGTAAATAGTTTAAAAATTCAAAAATCAGGTATTTATTTAATTAATTAAAAATATTTATTAAATAAAGATAATAAAGTCACATTTTGTGATTAATGGTCACATATTCATAATTTTAAGTTACAGATTTATTTACTGGTCACATATCGTCAAATTTTTTGATCCAAATTATTTCGAGGTCACATATCAAAAAATTTGTAGGTCACAAATTATTTCGAGGTCACAGATTTTTAAATTAGTTGGTCAAATATTATTTCGAGGTCACAGATTATTAAAATTTTAGGTCACATTTGAGTAATTGGTCACAAATTGACAAAAATTTGGTCACAGATTGCCGATACTTGGTCACAGGTCACAGATCAACCAACACAGACTATCCAGCCACAAAACACACGACTGAACCCCAACATCGATTGATCCACCATCACCAAAAGCCAACAACAATAGATTTACCAACCCCAACAAAAATAGACCAACAGCCAACCACCACCACCAGCCAACAATAGATCCACCACCACCAA